ATTCATTAATGAGTCCAATTATTTTAGATTATTGCAACCTTTAACTCATGGATATCGACGTATACCAGTTCTTCAGATTGGATCAGATATATTTGTTGATACACTTTTAATTATAGAAGAATTGGAGAGAAGGTAAATGAATAAAATAAAATAAAAATAATTATTTGGATAAAATAATTTATAAAATAACAAAAAATTAGGTATCCTGAACCATCATTATTTCCTAAAAGAATTGGATCAGATAAAAGTGATAAAGGACTTGGATATGCTATGGCAATGTGGACAGATGTATTTATTTATTTATTTCAATTTATTTTCTCTAATTTATTATAATTACTAATTTGTTTTAACCACTTCCCCAATATAATGTAAATATAGAAATATTTTTTCCAAGCAAATTTTATCATATCACTAATTCCTGAGGATCCAAATGCACCAGCAATTTTCAAATCTCAAGAACTTTTAAATGACCGATCTTTATTGATGAATCAGAAAATTGAACCCAATAAATTAAAACCACTTCGACCATTTATTATTGATGCATTGAAATCAAATTATGAATGGATTGAATTACAATTATCAGATGATCGACAATGGTTTTTGGATACAAGTACACCAAGTATTGGTGATATTCATGTTGCAATGAATATTTGGTTTTTAAATGTTAATAAAGGTGCCACCAAAGAATTTGGAGACATTACTGAATTGTATCCTAAAACTCATCAATGGTTTGATAGATTTATCAAATTTATTAGAGAAAATCAACAACATAAATCTTTAAGAATTTCTGGTGAGGAAGCATTGGAAATTGCTAAAAATTTTAAACCATCATCATATTATAATAAGAATAGTAACAAGAAATTAGGCAATAAAAAAATTGGTGATAAAGTTAGTATTTCACCTGATGATTATGGTAAAGTACCTGTTAAGGGTACTATTTTGAATATTGGTGACAGAAATATTGCTATAAGACCAATCGATGTTGATAAAACTGGCATTGATGTAGTTATTTGGTTTCCTATAGCTGGCTATAATGTTAAATTAGACAGCAACAATAATCATAATTCAAATATTGAAAAATCAAAATTATAAATTATCATCATCGCTATTCATAATTTATGCAATAAGTTTTATGTTTACAAGCAATAAAGATTTTAAATTTTTTTTTTTTGGAAACATTATTCTTTATTGGTTTTATCAAATAGTATAACTTGATGCTACAAATGAATTTTACTGGTCAAAATTGCTAGAGACCACGATGTAACCCGAGAACTATATAGATTCTGCAGTAACTGGGACAATTCTTACTATAATGGGGAACCTTTAAAAGACCTTCTAAATTTTTTATTATCTCTAAAAGTATTATATAGAACCCAAGAACTAGTTAAGATTTTAAAATTTTAACTCAATTAATAGATCTCTAGCTTTAATGTAATGAAAAGATTTTTCAAAAAAACTATTTATTGTGGAGCTCTGTTCCTTTAGTACACATGTTTTTTTTTTCGAATTCATGTGATCTTTGAAAATTTCTTAATTGTTTATTATTAACAATTATCAATAACATTATTGCTTGGAATTTTGCCATGA